AGAAAATTATAAGGCTTGAAAGTACTCAGACTTAAAAGTCACAAAACATCAGCTATGATCAGGGAATGGAAGATGGTGCAAGAACTACAAAATAACAGAAAGAGACATCGTACAAGAGATATTTGATAAATTCTATAAAGGTAATTTGTCAGGTGAAAGAAACCCCTTAAATAAGGTATACAGCTACTCTTGTAGAGAAACTGCATTATTAACAAAATGGCTCTTTATTGTCAAAGATACCAAAAAACCTTCAACAGCTGAAAATTCAGTCTACACTAATTTAAACCAGAAAGAAAACTTTCTTTGGCAGAAACAATCCACAAGTGGAGATGCTAGAAGTAACTTTCAAAAATAGCTGCAAATAATCCACATCCTGCACATTCCTGCGCATTAGACTTCATTTAATATTAAAGATGTACTTAATGAAGTACCTCTTCAGTTTGCCTTCCTTTCAAACCTAAGTAATTGGTCTCAAGTAGCTAACTGAAAATAACCTGTATGAGACTCAGATTAGACTGAGAACACAAGAGATTCTTTAGACAAAGTCTGCTTCTCCAGTATTATACGAATCTAAAGAAATAAACTATCCTTTAAGTTTTTTATACAGCTCAGAACAGGTGAACACTTCTCTTGTTAAATCATCAGTAAGTTCCCTCACATCTCTAAGCTCCTATGAGTTGTTGCAAGTACTCTTTCTTCTGATAGCAAAACTGGAAGAGACAGACAGACAGTCTGATTAGGTTTTAATTTAAAAATGAGCAGTTATGAAGAAGAATGCTTTCGTAAACATGAGTTCTTCACTTTTGAGTTTCCATTGCAAGAATTTCTGTAGTACCAATCAAATAACACTGTGGAGCAATGGGAGCTATGATAAGACTATTTACTAGGATAGAATCATACTTACAAAGTCATTTGTTAAGATTTAGTTTAGAAAGCAATACAGAGGAAGGCGGCTCATCCTTTCCAAAGGCTGGTGACCTCTGAGAAGAGCATGATCTCTGAAGAAAGATGCTGCTCACCCTTCCACGAGGGTAAGGGTCCACACTTCCAGTCATTCAGGTGCACTGCTTGCACCTCTGCTCCCTGGATTAGCCACATTCTCACCTGGTGCTCAATCAGTGGTTCAGACTACAACCCAGCAACTCCCAAACAAATGCCATTCTTCAACTGTGCATTTAAGAACATGTTTTAAACTAGGACCGTACATCCCTCAGAGATTCAAGCACAAAATTCTAAGACTTAAAGTTTTTTTTGTACTCATTTTGCCTAATATTCTAGTATTTGTATACTGAAAAGTATATGCTTGATAACAGCCAAACTGGGCAAGAATTAACATCATAAAACTATTAAACACAGCTGTGCTGCAAATTCAGAAAACAGTATTTTCTTGAAATGTAATACTATGAATTTTTTATCTGTATACTCTCGTCATCTTCTACTAATCCATGGAGAAGACCTTTCAGTTGAAGGCATATTTGTTACTCTACAGTTTTTGTGGATTTGGGCACGTGAGAGAATTGAGAGGAAGAAACAAGAACAGTTCACAGAAAATATGTGGAAAAAGGCAGCCTAATTTTCCCTGCATCATGCTTTGACTCTGAAATGAAAACTCAGTTTTAAAAGAAAATGAAACTCCTGACCTTAAATTCAAGGAAAGGTAAAAATTAAGTTGCCTAAAGAGAAAATTTCTCAATTTGGGTCAATGTAGGGTTTTTGTTTAAGTCATTTTTGTCAAGTTAAATATATTAAAAAATGCTCTCAAAACCAAACCACGAGTCGCATGTCTCCAAGAGTCCCCTGGGATACCAGAACATCTTTCAGATAACTGTGTGAACCTTACATTAAGTTTGACCATTTCCCTTGCTCTAAAATGTGAGAAACATAAAACACGTAGCTAAATGCATACATAAAATACATAAACCCATGCATCCTAAGAGCTGCATTCCTTTTTCTGTACTACTTAGAGCATTTTGTCTCATGTTTTAGATCCTAATATTTTGGAGGCCAGACCCAAGTTCATGTCCCATAGTTTTATTGTAGTACAACAGTTGATGTCCCTGATCACAGCTCCCAGACACAATGGCAATAAAAACTATAAGCAAAAATCTCCTTTCAACTAACTGGTAGGAATATCTAAAAGCATTTAAAGCCAGGTACAGTACATAACTTATCCTCCTACAGTGCAAACTTCTCCTTAATTGCACAGAGACCTTCCCCGCTGAGAAACAGAGAAATACAAGAATTTAATGAGTTCTAGACACTTAAATGTGTATATAGCAAAATTGATTCAGTTACTTTTTAAAGCTTCCAAAATACAACATTTATGTCAGTATGGCAAAGAAGGACTAGGGGCAAAAATAAAACACTTGCTTTGCATAAATAAAAATAAATGCATAGAAGTTGTCTTCAGAAAGAAAAAACACCCTGCTTGTCATTTGCTGAAAAGAGTTCATTTAATTTATGTAAGGGCATAAATATACAAGTAGAAAGAAACTACACCACAAGAAAGACCATTCTTGCAACAAGTTTTTCCTCTCCGGAGCGATACAGGCTTATGAGTACAATCACATTCTCACACTGAAGACTTCCATTATATATATGTATAATATACATATATATTATACATATATATATAATGCATGAAATATACCTTATGATTTATTTTAATTTGTATCTTAGCTTAACATCAAGAGAAAGTTACCAAATTTAAACATTATATGGCTTATTCTCTAAAGCACTCCTAGCTGCAATAAGTACAACTCATCATCTCTATATACACTAAGAATACATTTATTTTAACATCAAGCAACACTGCTGCCTGCCTGCCTCCCTCCCTCCTTCTTGAGAGCCTTTAAGTTAATCTCAATGTATAGGAAGTAAAAAACAACTTCTTATCTACAGCTGCTGACAGAAAGTAAACACATTTGTGATTCAAATAAAATTATTATTTTTTTAAACCACAGCCAATACACAGCTTTAATTAGGTAACTACTTACTGGATGAGCATTTCCATCTATTTACAAGGGAAAAAATGTATACACTGCAGGAGATTCTCACATGAGCTCTATCTGAAATTTGATCCTTGCATGGCACGTTGCCCAAGCACTGCACTGTACTGTGATTTAATAACAGGCACACGCTTCAACAGCTCTAAATAATGGACTGCTTGCAGGTATATGACTGTAACCCAAAGAGATACAAAAGCATTCAATATAGCATTTTATTTTGGTTTTGGGAATAGGGAGGTTGTGAAAGGGAAGGATCTGTAAATAACAATTTGAAAAGGAAGCAACTCGTCACTAAAGGATAAAAAAAAGCCATTGCCATCTTAGGAATATATATATATATATATATATTCGGTATATATCTGATAAACAGTCATGTTAATTTAAGCCTGAGTCTATGAGAGACTATCTTTCCATTTTTCCTCCACATTTTCACAGCTCTAGGTGAAAAAAGAAAAGAAAAAAACAAGTCACCGGTCCTCTATGCTCCGTTATCATGCTAACACTTGTCAGCCTTCTAAGCACTCTAAAAGCACTCTAATTATACTAGCTGAGAAAATAATGTGAAGGCTCAATAAAAGTCAGTGAAAATACACCCATTTACTGCTCCATACAATTCAAACTTGTCTGCGTTTCATTTCAGGCCAGGGGCTGATTCTGACCTCTTCTTTTTTTTTTTTTTTTTAAAAAAAAAGCAGTTATGCAAGCCTCTGTCAGTAAGAATTTCACCACTGCACACACCTGCCTATATCCATAGGTAAACTGCTTGTTAGCAGCACCTACTGCAACATTCAAAGCCGTCAGCCTTTAAGATACACACTTTTCAAATATGCGTTCAGCATCTTCCAGCAGATACCCAATTTGTCTGATGAATAATTCAACCACGTGACTAACCAGGATTGAAGCCACGCTTGCAACCACCGCTGATTTGCTGGTGTTGCTTTTAACCATTTTAAAGTTATTTCACCGAGGCTGAAGAGAACTGATTAATTCACGTTTTGTTGTTGCATCCAGTTTTTTTTTTTACCCTGCAATACCACACTCAGCTCTATACCTGCAGGTTGTTAAGCTGCAGCCCGTAAACAGCCTCCCATACCAGATGCTATTTCTCACGGAGGACACCACATAGGGGCAGTTCTCAGCAAAGCCCCTCGGGCATTTTGAAAACAAAAACAAACACAAGTCCTTTACCGAGCTCCACAAAAGCGGTGGATCACTTGCTCTACGCAAGAATGCAGAAAAAGCAACCGCAGGGGATGAGGTTTTAACACTGCCTTCAATAGAATACCGGCTCCAAAGCACAGGCGAACAGCAATTTACTCGGTCTGCTTTCTCCTGGCACCTTCAGGAGATGGATGTCTGCACTCAGACCTGAGCTAGCCAGCTACCCACGGCAAGCCGACAGCGCAGTCCTTCCACCCCGCTGTTAGCGCAGCGCCCTCGGGATCCGGACAGCAATCCCATCCTCCGTCGGACGGGCTGCTGCTGCTGCTGCGCTTTTCTACGGGAGCCCCCTGAAGATGCGGCTGTTTGGAGGCCCCATCCTAACCGGAGGGCAAAGGGAATAAACGCAGCTTCGCACAGAGCCGCTCTTCTCGCCCCTCCACGGCGTGAGGTCGTGGAGAAAAGAGAAGGAAACAGAGCAACGGGGGGGAGGAAGGAGCGACGGTAACGCGCTACGCCTGCAAGAAGAAGCAACCGCTGTCTTGTCACAGCCCCCCACGCCGTTACATAACGGCAGCAAGGCGCGCAGCGCTGCGCAACCCGCCGCGCTGAGAGCTCCGCTCCCACCGGGGCACGGAACACGCAAACAACCAAAAGCCTCCCCGTAGGGCTGCGCTGACCGAACGTGAATTAATCAGCCAGCGCGCCGACACGGGGCGAGAGGACAAGAAACACCAGTGAAGCGTGACCGTTCAAAAAAAAAAAAAAAAAAAGGAAAAAAAGAAGATAAAAGAGGGACTCGGGAAGCTGACCCTGCCTCAGTCCACTTACCACCGGCTCACCGAGGGAGCGACAGCTCCTGCCAGCCCAACCTGACTCTCGCCCCGACTCTGACGCGCTCAGCAGCCAACCCCGAGCTGGCGCGGCGGCTCAGCCAGGCTCCTGCCCTCCCGGCAGCGGCATTGGCGAGCGCCCGGCACCGCCTACTCGCCCTCCTCTGCCGCTCGTCCCCATAGGACAGACGGGCTGTCCAGCTGGCGACCGCTCCCGCCTCCCACGGAGCGTGAGGTAATGAATTAACGTAGGGGCAGCTGCTGCCTTAAATGGATGGTTATACGCTGTGCCGTCTCCCTTCTCCCCGCTCGTTACCCGGTGCTCGGCAGTAGGTGGGCAGGGAGGAGATGGCTTCCGTGCCGTTCCTCTTTTTAAGAGCCGGGACAGATACGGATCGGTTGGCTGGGTGTACTCGCACAAATCCGCGTCGGGAAGCCTGGGAATTGAGGCTGGGTTTCTCCGTTCCCAAGGAAAATGCACATAGCAGGAGGGTGAAGCTCGATGATCATTATGGTCCTTTTCAACCCAGGCCATTCTATGATCCTATGACCACGGAGAAGCTTCAGTCTCGAAACCGAGTCTTGCAGGCTTTGTCAGCTTCTGGTTCTGATGGCTGACCAACTGCACCTCAAACTTGTTGACAGCAACAACTTATAAAAAGTAACTAAAAAAAAAAAGGAAAAAACAACTGGGCTGGGCTGTGCAATGGGGTAGGTTTTCCTCAAAACCTTGTGAGGATATTGGAAGCCTACTCTTTATGAAACTTGAGCTGCCCCAAGAAAGGTCCCTTCCTGCAACTGAGAAGCAGATCAAGAGCTGTGTAGTTCTGAATTAGAGACTGGTTTCAAAGGCAAAATGAGTGCAACACAGATTAACAATAAACAAGGTTTAGTAAGTAGACCAGAGAAGAGAACTCACCCAGTGTTTAACATACAGCTGATGCTATGTCATCTTCAATTTTCCCCAGCCCACAGAGTACAGAACATAATATGTTTTCTTTAATAGAAATTTTCGTCACGACCCATGCTAAGACCAATGTGCTCTTTTAGTAACATCACTCTTAGAAAAAACATGCAGAATCAGAATTACCTGAATTTGACTGTGATAGAATTGGACAAATCACATGAATTTACTTGTGTTTCACCATCAGTAATCAACATGGATTCACCAAGGGGAAATCATGCTTGAACAATCTGGCAGCCTTCTATGATGTCGTGACAAGCTGATAGGTTAGAAGAGAGCAGCAGTGTTACCTGCTTTGACTTCAGCAAGGCTACTGTGTCCAGGTCTAGGCTCCCCACTTCAAGAAAGACAGGGAACTACTCAAGAAAGTCCAGCCAAGAGCTACAAAGATGATTAGGGGCCTGGATCATCTTCCTTATGAGGAAAGGTTGAGAGAGCTGAGACTGTTTAGCCTGGAGAAAAGAAGATTGAGGTGGGATCTTATCAGCACTTAGAAATATCTAAAGGGTGGATGTCAAGTGGATGGGGGCAGGCTGTTTTCAGTGGTGCTCAGCAAAAGGACAAGAGGCAATGGACACAAACTGGAAGACAGGGAGTTCCATCTGAACACGAGGAAAAAAACTTCTATGAGGATGACAGAACACCGTAACAAGAGTTACAGTCGAGAGTGTCCTTTTCTGAAGATATTAAGAACCTACCTGGATGTTTTTCTGTACGTTCTACTCCAGAGAACTTGCTTTCAAAGGAGGGAGTTGGAGTAGATAATCTCCAGAGGTCCATTGTTATTATGCGTTTCATGAAAGGAAGAGGGATGATCAAGAAAGGAAACAAATCTATCAGGTTCTGTGGTACAATACACAAACAGCACTAATAGCTGCATCTTAGAATCATAGAATCACAAGATTGGAAAGGACCTACAAGATCATCTAGTCCAACTGTCCTTACTGCCACTAAGCTACTAAACCACACGTCGTAGCATCTCATCCAGATGCCTCTTGAACACTGCCAGGGATGGTGACTCCACCACCTCCCTGAACAGGCCATTCTGGTGCATGACCACTCTTTGGGAGAAAAAGGTTTTCCTTATATCTAATCTAAATCACACCAACTTGTGGCCATTTCCCCGGGTCCTGT